GTATATATCCAGTAGTGGAATCATATGGTAGTTCTATTTTTAATTTCTTGAGGAAATTTTTTAGGGTATATATCCAGTAGTGGAATCATATGGTACTTCTATTTTTAATTTCTTGAGGAAATTCTTTCCATAATAGTTGTGCTTATTTACAGTCTTACCAATAGTGTACAATCATTCCCCTTTCTAGGAGATAGGAATTTTTAGCCTAGTGTAAATTCTTTTTTTTTTTTTTTTTTTTGTGGAGACAGGGTTTCACTTTGTCACCCAAGGTAGAGTGCCTTGGCATCACACAGCTCACAGCAACCTCCAACTCTTGGGCTTAGGTGATTCCCTTGCTTCAGCCTCCCAAGTAGCTAGGACTACAGGTGCCTGCCACAATGCCTAGCTATTTTTTTTGTTGCAGTTTGGCCAGGGCCAGGTTTGAACCTACCACCCTCAGTATATGGGGCCAGCGCCCTGCCCACTTAGCCACAGGTGCTGCCCTGTAAATTTATTCTTAAGATCTAGAATTCTTATGGTTTATAATACCTCTAATAAGCCTATAATTCTTATGGTTTATAAATGTATATTTGTCATTCACAAACAAAAAGTCAACTGAATATCAGAAACTGTATATAGTAAAGACAACAACCCAAATGATTATAGTAAAGACAACAACCTAAATGCTTTAATGAACAATTACAGAAACCAATGTTTAAAAGCATCCCCATTTAGGTTTGGCAAAAGTTTAAGTAGAATTTATAGTACCTCATCCAGTGCTTCTACTTTCTTCCTTAGGATCCCAGAGATGTATCGGATGAGCCCCCAGTGACGAATTTCTCCGACTTTGCCATATAGTTCAGTAAGAAGCACTCTGACTGTAGCACCCCCTTCATCATACAAATCAGTGTCCCAGTCAGGTCCTCTGGAATTTTAGACAAGACTACATTAATTACAAGTAAAGCCACCATCAACAATCTTTTGTTTTAGTGTTATGTGGTATAATGGATATACCTGTTTTTCACAGATCTCCCTGATTAAGAATCTAACGTGATTTACTAACAGTCCTCGTAAAACTATGGTTAATGGTCAGCCTCGAAAACCAAATGCCTAGAAAAGAATAAGTCTTAGTTTCAGCTGTACTTTGACAAAATGTATTATTTTACCCTCTTCATGGGGTTCAATATAGCTTACATTAAAGATAAAGATTTAATTTACTGAAAGTTTAGAAAATATGCTATGCTTTGTGAACTAATTAAGAAATAAAAACCTGCATGTTTATTTTTAAGATTACATATATGTGAAATAGTGTTGTAGAAATTATACCACAAGTTAACTATGAAATGCCATAAAAGATATATAAAGTTGTATGAAATTGGGAATTTAATATATGATAAAGGTATATTATTAATTAAATGATGTTAAGATAATCAAGTAGCCATCTGGAAAAAAAGTTGAATCCATGCCTCATACTATATACATAATTCCAGATATGTCAAAGTTCTAAATGTAATGATACTAGGAAAGATATGGGAGAACTATTTTATAACTTTCAAGGCAAAACTTTTATATTATGAAACATATACCAGAAGCCATAAAAGGCTAATATATTTGTGCACATAAACAACAAAAAATATTCTCATTGCAAAAAACATTGTAGGTAAAGGACAAATTACACACTGGGAAAATATTTGCAACTCATAGGCCTATTTTCCCTTATATAGAGAAAAGTCCAACAAATAAATAAGAAAGCAAAAAAACAACAAAAGAAAACCTAGCAAAACAAATACTGATGAGCTTTAAACATAAGAAAAGTTACTTACAATACATACATACATACATATATATATGCATTGTCCCTCATGATATGAAAAATTTAAGTTAGCACTATATCAAGATAACATTTTTGATTTACCAGGTTGTCAAAAGTCTCCAAATTTGATAACAGTGATGAAGCTTAGGGAAAACAGAAACGGTTAATATGTTATGGGTTGGAGTGAAAATTGGGACAGTCCCTCTGGAGGGTTATTTGGAAATTTATATTAATATTAAAAATGTTGGGAAAAACCCTGGAAGTTCTTACACAAAATAGTTAGAGTTACCCTATGATTCAACATTTCTACTCCTAGTTATATATACAAGAGGAATAAGAACATATGTCTATATTAACTTGTATTTGTATATGAATATTTACATCAATATTATTCACAAAGGCCAAAAAGTGAAAACAACTCAAATGTAATAATAAATAAAAATGTGGTATAGCCATATAAGCAATAATATTTGTCAATGAAAAAAATGAAGTACTGATACATGCTAATATGGATGAACCTTGAAAATATTATGCTAAATGAAAAAAGCCTGTCACAAAGGACTGTATATTGCAGAACTTCATTTATTTAAAATGTTCCCAAATAAGCAAATCTATAGAAACAGAAAGTAGATTAGTGGTTGCCTCCAGTTGGAGGGATGGAAAGATTTGGTGTTGATGGATAAAAAGCAGTAGGGGGAGCTCTCCTGGAATGTCAGGGGAGAGGAAGAGGACTAGCTCCTGTCTTGTGTGGAATATTGGTGTGGAGTGGTAGTTTGGGGTGTGCAATGAGGCAGTGGACTGCTGGAGTTGGAGTGCAAGCCAGAGCTGTGGAGATCCACCACAAAGGGCAAGTTTCTGCAAGCCCCTCCTGGTGGCAGAGTTTGTGGTGGCCAGCCTCCCCACCAAGGTCCCAGAGGAAGCCATTTGCAGTTTTTGGTTATTAGGGGAAACTAGGGGTTGAGTGGAAAGATTGGAGAGGTGTGGACTACAGAGTGGAATTTGGCAGCCAGATTGGGATGCTGTCTGGAATGGTCCTACCATTGTTGGGTGGCAGGTGACATCAATACAGACAAAGTTCGGGACGGAGCCAACATTTTCATAAAGGTCACTAGAAGGCTGAGTGTGGGCCTCTTACTGGGGGCTCAAGGCACAGCAGTCTGAGTTCCACTTGTGGGTAGTGGTCCTACACTCCTGACAGGCCCAGGGACTCCCACACTCCACTGGAACCTGTTGTAAGGGGAATCTGTGAGACCTGCCTCTGAAGACTTTTTGAGAGTTGTGGTGGAATCCCAGATCAGCGGGGTCTGAGTGCTGAGCAGGTTAACGGCCATCACCAGGAACAATTTAGTTGGGAAACAGGTCTAAGCCTAGGAACCAGAGAGAGGTTATCAGCTGTGTTCTTCAGCCTCTAAATTCACTGCGCCACCTGGTGTCCAGCACGTATATTGCAACATAAATATACTTCTAATAAAGTCAGATCCCTACTCATATATGTTTATATATATATAAATAAATAAATTTTTGTTGTTGCTGTTGCCTTCTATTTTTCTATTTTCTTTTCTCTAAGTTTTTCTCTTTTATCTTTTCTCTATTGGTTTCTGAGATTGCTTACATCAGGCTATTTGAGCTTTTTATTATTTTTTTTTAAGTCTTGTTTCAATGTGTTTTATTTTTTGCTAACTTGTTTGGTTAGTTCTTGTCCTAAATTCCATTTTCACATTCAACAAGAGCAAGGGATCCTGTATTTATTTTGGTTGCAGTATTTTAGCTTGATTAATTCTCTCTCCCTATTTCATTCCTCGGCATTCTCTCAGTTGATAGAGACTCTTCTACTCTTCTCATCTCTCCCACATAATGTGGTTCTGCATCAGTTTGTTGTCTTTCTTCATTCTTTCTTTATTCCTCTTCCCTCCTTATCCTTTATTTGATTCAACAGTACATTTAATTTCCTTTGTCTATTCTTATTTTAATATTTGTTCCTTTCCCCCCTTTTCTCAATTTTTGTTTATTTTTTTTCCATTCTTCTTTTCCCACCCTTTCTTTGTTGAGGATGGGTGTAACACAGCTGTGATCTGGCAGGTAGACTGCAGCAGCAGTTAGGCTCAAGGAGGCCTGGAGAATGTTCTTTCATTGGCCCCAGGAAGAAAGTACTAGGAAGATCATGCCGCTGAACTTTTCTATTTTTCTTTCTTTCTTTTTTTTAATCTGTACTCAAGTTTTCCTTCTTGTTTTTTGTGTCTGCTCTTTTTCTTCTGTTCTTAATTTTGGCAGAGGAGGAGTTTGGCTATGTTCAGGCTGATAAAGGAGTCCCTGATTTAGCAGTAGCCACTGAGCCCAGCTCCTCAAAACCCTTGAGCTATAAGTATGGCCTTAAAACCCTGCTAAACAGTAACATTTCTTCTATCACTCTCATCTCTCCTTCTTGTCCTCCTAATCTCCTGTTCTTCAATTTTCTTCTGTTGTTCCCCCTTTCCCCCCTTTTCTTTTCTTTTCTCCTTTCTGTTTCATTTCCATTACTCTTTCCTTCTTATTTTCCTCCTTTTTTCCCCTTTTCTCCTGCTTATTCATCCTCTCTCCAATACTCTTCTGCCTTCTGACACCATACTTAGAGGCCTCTTCCTCACCTAAACTCTTAGACAAGGTAACCTGATGCAAAGCAGGAAGTGAGAAGGAAAAAGGTGCACAGGGAATTGAACAAGAAGAAAGCACACATGAGGAAGAACCAAAAGAAAAATTCAGCACCATGAAGAACCAAGATAAAGCAACTCTTCCAAGGAAATACAAGGCAAATTTGACAGAAGACTACTCCTATAAAGAAGTAATGGATTAGACAGAAAGGGAATTTAAAATATGGATGATTAAGACATCTTTTAAGAAAAGGGTTTGGATGAGAAAATGGAAAGACAGAATCAAAAGTCAGATGAGAGAGGGAGGGGCAAGATGGCCAATGAGTACCAGCCTCTGACAGAAGCTCCCATCCAGAGGGAAGGATAAAGTCCAGAAAACACCCAACAAAGTCGACGATTGGGAGCCCAGCTGAGAGAGAAGAGCGATATTGGCAAGTCACCTCTGCTGAGGCAAGCGGGGACTCCTAGAAAGCAATCTACAGGGACATAATACACCCCAAAAGAAAAGTATCCATCTCCTCCCCCAAGAAAATTGTGCTTTTCCTTTGTCTTCTCTTCAACTGCTCCTCTAAGTCTCCTACAGGTGATAGATAAACTGAGGATCTATTATCTCACCTCAAGAGTGAGAGCTACAGACAGTGGGGTCTACTCCCCTGGAGGGACCCTGCTGAGATCCCAAACACCCTCTCCAAGGCAGAAAAGTGGAACTTGCATTCACACTGCCATTTTGAGTTTCCAGTCCACCCTTCCCCCCTTGCCTGCAGAGACAGTGAGAGAACACCCAAGAGCAGCATCCCTCTACCCTTGGGGGACCAACCCCTGTCCAAGTCCTGCACTGGGAGAACTGCTTGAAACACAACGGCTTTGTGCTTGGCGCAGACTGATTCCGCCAGACAGTGCGTTCTGTGCCAAGTCATAGTCCCGGCTTCCCAGGGAGCCTGCTGCCACTGCTGCCCTGTGCCCAGGACTGAATCCCATGGGTAAGCACATTCCCCACGCTCCCTGCCAGGCCCACGGTCCCGCCTCACGGGAACCATGGCCCTTGCCACTGTGTGGCCAGGATAGAATCCTGCGTGCCAGTGCGTCTCATACCTGCCCACCTTGCCTGCCAGGTCCATGGTTCCTGCCCCCCAGGAGCCGTTGCCACATGCCCAGGACTGAATCCCGTGGGCTGGCACATCCCGTGCCTGCCTGCTTGCCTACCAGGTCCACAGTCCCAGCCCCACTGCACAGACAGGACTGAATCCCACAGGCCAGCACATCCCGTGCCCACCTGCCTGCTGTGTCCCCAGTCCCCGCCCCTTGGGAATCGCTGCCACCAGCACCACCGTATGCCCAGGACTGAATCCCGTGGGCCTGTGCGTCCCACACTTGCCTGCCTGCCAGGTCAGAAGTCCCTGCTTCCTGGGGACTCACCGCCTGGCACACTCAGGACTGATCCTGCCAGCTTTCCCGTCCCATGCCCGCCTGCCTGCTGGTTGCCCC